AAAAAAAAAAAGGCAAAATAGGCCTACATGGGGGAAAAATGTGAAAAACCGTGTTCGGTATTCGGCCCAGTGTTTCATTTGGTTCGGCTTCGGCCTAGAATTTTCTTTTCGGTGCATCCCTAGTGAAAGATTACTCAATGCATTCAATAAAAATGTGAAAAGTACAACTGTTTGTGCGTTATTAGATTATTCAGATTGTGTTTGTCAATAATTGTAAGTTAAATTAGGAACAGACCACATTTTATGCATAATCAAAGGATGCACAAACTTATTCTTGCCACTGCATACTGTATATGTATTTTTGTTCTAGCTACCTGTATATATCCATGCTGGTCAATGAGTAGGTTTTCAGGTTTCAGGTCTCTGTAGATGAGGTCTAGTGAGTGGAGGTACTCGAAAGTCAGGACAATCTGAGCAGCATAAAACCGCGCATGCGGTTCACTGTCAATCAAAGAAATCACATCGAAGAGTTAGAGACAAAACGAGAGATCAGCGAGAATCACTGAAGCAAGGTTTTCCTCGCTCAAAAATGGCCTTAGCATGTAGAGATGACAACAGCTAGATATTTAAAATAACAGTTTTACCTCTGATACCAAAATTGTATCATGAATTTGACTGGTATTCATATTGACTACTTTTTTTATTTATTGAACACTGCTAAATATACTAACTCTTTCTGACATAGGACATATCCCGTAACAAATCACAATCCCATAGAGTTGAATAAAAATATAATTACTTGCATTAAATGTAGGGTTTCATAAAAAAACACTTTTAGACCCAAATTAAACTTCCAACATCAAATATTTCGTTTGACATGCACACACACATTTGCTCCGTGCAGTTTGTGCAGTATACTGCTCACTTATGTGCTGTCATATTGCAAAAAGGATATTTTGTTGTGAATCATTTGCATAAACCTGTGCTGGAGTTTAATGTTAGTTGATCCAGCAGTAAATGAGTAATTAGCTCAAACATGTCTTCCCTCACCTAAACCTCCCGATTCTTCTAAGATGTGAGAACATCTCCCCTCCTGGTACATACTCCATCACCATATACAAATTAGAGTTGTCCTGTGAGAATAAAGTCAGAATTAAAACTGAGAGACAAATAAAACTAGTGGATTTTTAGATGACTATTACTGAAGTCTAAACTAGTAAACCACACTCCTACTTCTAGCCGGAATTGCTACACGACTATTCAATAACATTGTTAGTCAAATTTATAACAGCTAAGGGGCGTTGTTAGGCACGACACGAAATGGAAACCCCGTTAGCTGTTATAAATTCACTGTAAACCACGGCTTCATGGGGCTTATTGCTTTTATAAAACTGTTATTCCATATACGTAGTTAGGTTTCACAAAATAAAACAGAGCAAATAAAGTGTAATGATATTAATAAAAACAGTATTCTTCCACCAAACAATGTAGCTCCTCAGAAACAGTTGTGGTTGCAACAAAGTGGTTGCCAAGCAACACAAACGTAAACAAAGGTGTGTGTTTGTAGAGTAATTTACAACAGCCTTGAACGCGGTTCAACCAATCAGAATCAAGGACTCTCCATTTTATAAAAAGTTGTTTTCAATAACACTTTTCCTTTCTTGGCCAAATATTGGCTGATTATTCGCCCTGGCTGACGCATCTGTTGATCACTATATGAATTTAATGAAATGGCAATAGGAAGGTGCAGCACAGTACCTTGAAGGCATATTCCAATCTGACGAGGAACGGGAAAGATACTGCTTGTAATATTCTCTTCTCATTTAGCGTATGCTCCACTTGTTTCAACTTCACCACCTATGTAAAAACAAACAAATTTAATAAGAATTTCTGAGATGATATTCATACATCATACACACTGTATTTATATCATGGTCTGTCTGAATACTTGATTCTGATTATTTGAATGAGCTCGCTAAAACCTTTTAATGCACAGTTAACTTCAACTCTGGTTATATTACAAATAGAGCTATATAAATAAAATTGCCATAACTGTAGATTACACCTTACATTTTGAAACAAATAATTAGACTTCAAAAGCACCATTGACGGTTTTATCTATAATAATTTATATTTTCATGGTGTGAAATACTCAAAGAAATCACAAACGCATGGTAATTTTGGTTACCTGCATGATAACAACCAACCTTTTGTTTGTCCAGAACCTTCATGGCATAGAACTGATCTGTAGCCTTGTGTTTAACCAGCATGACTCTCCCAAAAGAGCCCGTGCCCAACGTCTTCAGTTTGTCGAAGTCATCTAAACCAGTTGTGCTCTACAGCATAAAACAAACATTTAAATAAACTGTCCTACAATACCATAAACTAATTTCTGAGAAATACTACAATATCGAAGAAAATGTGTATATATGTATTTATATAGAGTAGATACACGCTGCCAAAAGGAAACATATTCTTAATTATTTTAGCATATATATATATATATAAAAATAAGTGCTGTCAAACGATCAATCGCATCCAAAATAAACATTTTTGTTTACATAATATATGTGCGTGTTCTGTGTTTATTTATTATGTATATATAAATACACATACATACAGTATATATTTTGAAAATATTTACATATATTTATATTATATAAAAATATATTTAATATATAAACATAAAATTTTTCTTAAATATATACATGCATGTGTTTGTATTTATCTATACATAATACATATGCACAGTACACACTCATATATTATGTTAACAAAAACTTTTATTTTGGATGCGATTAATCGCGATTAAAGGGGTCATATGATGCGATTTAAATTTTTCCTTTCTCTTCGGAGTGTTACAAGCTCTTGGTGCATAAAGAAGATCTGTA